CTCAAGCTTCTTCCCTTGTTCACTTTCCTGCAAGATCTTTGAATCTTCTTCATTCTCCAATATTGTCTTTTCATTTTGTCCATCGGTATCACCTTGCTTGATGTCATTACTGCTTCGTTCAGCTAGTATGACAAAAGATTTCTCCTCATTTCCTTTCTCCTCTGGCAAAGCTTCTGTTGTATCAGGGTTCTTGTACTCAATTTGCAATTTATCTTCTTGTCTCAGCATTGAAGCGTTCGGTGTTTCCTCTGGACTTTCAGCTGCCTGACTTGTCTCACCAACAATGCTTTCTTCTGCTGCTGCCTCAGACTTCTCAAGTTTCTGTAGAAATATGGTCAAGCAGTATTGTAAAACTTTGAGGAAAAGATTAATAGTAGAAAACGAAATTCACAATGACATTCACGATAGAGCTAACCTCTCCTTCAAACTTGTCAGCATCTTTTTCATCAGGTTGAAAGTCCTGGTCTGAAACTACTTCTGCAGATTCAAGTCTAATATCCTCATTTTGTCCTTTTTCTGTGGCACATTCTGTATCAACCCCTTGTTCTGATTTTTCTTCCTTATTCTCATTATCTCTAAAGCTCTCAAGTCTTTCTTCTTCTATTGGTTGTGGCAAGGGAAGCATGTCATTATCTTTTACGATTTCTTTGGTGGCCTCTGTAGGGCACGTGATCTCGGATCCATCATGTACCTGAAATAACAGAATTGAAACCTTTATGCAGGGGTTTAAATTCTTAATGTGTATGCACATGTTTTCGCATACTAATATTGCAATCATACCTCTTCCTCTCTAATGTTGCTATTCCTTTCATCAGCATCTTCTCCCTTGTAATCCTTGTCCCCTCCATGCAATATTGGTGTTGCCTCTAGAAGATACTTGACTTGAGGGTTCTCAAGTTTCTCATCTCTGATAGATATAGAACTCCTAACTTCAACTGCAGGGTCATTTCCAGTTACACCTTTACTGGCAGCATCACCTGCGGCAGGTATTATAAAGTAATCAGTGACCTTAATTTCATTTGGAGTCTCCTTTACAATAATCTCCGACCTGATATTGGAGACTGCATTGAAATTTTAGTTCATTATGTTGACAAGTGATGTATGTAAGATGATCTCACCTTGCATATTGTCTTCATCTAGACATTTTGATTCTGTTGTAGCTTGCTCATCTCTGACTGTGATACTGGGCGCCTGAATAAGCTTTTCCTCCAATTTAGGTGCAGTTCCATCCACACTTGACAAATCGATAGATAGATTGTCTGGCTCATCCATTGCATCCCCAGTGATTTCTGAAGCTGCTTCATGCTTATTCATGGGTGAACTTGCTGCTGCATCTGGTTCAATTGCTTCAGGACCTTCGTCCAGTGGGGCATCTTTAGCAGCTGTTACTTCAACTTGTTGATCAAGGATTATTTCCTCCTTCAAACCTTCATTATTTTGCTCTCCAAAACTCGTCGTCATCAAGCAGGTTCCTGCAAGATCTAGATTGTATTGGTTTGGGTCACTCTTTTCTACTCCATCCTCCATTGCCTTTGTCACTTCACCTTCCCCGGTTCCTTCATGTTCCTGTCCTGCCCGAAGTTGACTATCATCAACCTCACAAGTTTCTGACGTTTTGCAGGTGTCTTCGCTAGCAAACTCTTGGGAGACTAAAATACTCTCTCCTTCAGAGTTTTCTGGATTGCCTTTAGAGACAGTGTTCCCTGTTTCGGCTCCAATACCAATTGCTATTTGCTTGTGTTCTGTTCTTGGCAAATGCTCATCAGTTTCGGGGGGTTGGCTAAGCATACTCTTGAATTCCTTCCATTCTCCTGGTAGAACCTCCTCGCTGGTCAAGTATTGATTCTCCGCTTCTCTTTTCTGCATAAGAAAGGATTCTCATTTACATTTATGCACCTTCATCTTTGGTCCAGAATAGGCTTCTGTGGCGATTGGCTTTGGTATTTTAGGAGAAATTTTATTTATCATTGATCTCTTTCTTACCATGTTTTTTTAGTCTTTCCCAGTCTCAACAATTTGATTTTTTATAGAAAAATAGGAAACTCATATATGACTGGAGGTTAACTGAGAAAATATAATGTGTCCATTAAGCCATAAAATGTCCGTAATACCGAACTGTACATCCATGCCGCTGTCCTCACGTTGATCTATAGTTTCATAATAAAGGAAATTAAATGCAATACTATCCCACCATAAGCATTTTTCTATTTATGAAATGCCGTAGATTGATGGGATATAGTTAGTACTCTAGTTTCACAGAATATGAATGGAAATGTAAAAACCCTCATGAAATTTATTTGATATGCTAACCTGTATCTTTCCATTCTAATAATTAACTTATTATAAATGTTATAGTTACAATGTCACATTGCATTGTAAGCTTATAAATGATGTGTCGTTTATATAATAGGTTTCTTTCATTTAAGATTCACTTGTAATATTATATGCATTCACTCATTTAATATCATGTAATATCATTTAATATCATATAATAATTATAAGGTTACAATTTATGTAATATTGTAATTATAACAACTCATCATGAATGTTATGATGTTTGAGAAGAATAAATTGAAAATTCTTTCTAATTTGTTTTTCTATTTCTGTCAGACAGAACCAACTGAGTCCAGCTCAATAGCTGGTCCGTTCTCAGAGCATGTTTCAGATTTTCTGAATCAAAGTATGTTTTATCTTTCCTTATTTATTTTTGATTGCTTAGATAGAAAAACTAAAAGTTAAATATGGTAGGAAAGATTGGCCAATGATAATAATAATAGATACCAGATGTATTGTTTTGCTCGCCTGAATTAGAATACAAATCTTATGGAAAATTTCCTTCCTTCCGTAATAAAGAAATTACGATGACGAATGGAAATTTTTGAAGGGAATCTTAGAGAAAAAAACGTAACTGGTTTCTCAACAGTGAGTGATAGATAAACCCAAGTTGTGGTTAAAATCAACTCCAAATTACGAGAAGTTATTATCATAAGAAACTAGGAAAAATTGTTTCGTTTTCCCTGAGGTACAGAAAATTAGCTTCTGAAATGACTTTCATCATCATATATTTACGTGGAAATTTTAGATTCACATAATGTAAGAGCAGAAAATGTGCAGTGAAATTCATAACTTCTAAGTCACAGTAACTGCAAATTCAACATGATAAAGTAAACCTTTGAAATACTCTGAAGAGGTTTTGCAGAACAAAAACTGTGTGCTTAACTTCTGATCATTCTTGTCTTTGGATCAAATATTAATTTCTGGTGACCCTTTTATTGAACTTATATTATTGGTTTAACCCTGTTGAAACTTAAAATCATAGATGCTCTCGAGTTAACAAAAGCTCACTAGAAAGTATGTTTTACTTAGAGACAAAAATGATAAAAGGTATAGAATTGAAGTATTCTCTTGATTATGGAACTAATTTTTCTATAGAAAGGAAGAAAGGATCTTAGATACGCCTTTATCATAGCATGGAAAGACCATAGTATCTTCTTTTTGATTCCTATATATGTTGATCAAAAAGGCAGGCTATTCCATTACAAAATAACGAAAAAATATCAAAGCAAGTGTAAAAAGATGAAATATTTATCTCTCTATAACGGTATATGGAGAACAAATGCAAAATAGGAAACAAAGAAATAGATGAAAGAAATAAAGTTTACATACCAATACAGAAATGGGTTCTGGAATTTCTGCTTCAGTAGCCATTTCTCTTGCTGGAATTGGTTGATTTCAAGTACTCATAACTTTAACTGGTGTTGATTGTTAGGTATCTGTGTTGATTCCTCTGACAAATATAATCCTGAAAAGCTAAAAATGACAAAATGCCTTGTTATTATAAATTATAAGCCAATACCTTGCTGAGTTGGCAGGTGTGAGAGATGGTCCTGCTGATTAGTCACTCACATGTCTTATAAGACTGATATAGATCTGTTGGAAATTCTGTATTACCCAGCACATCAATTATTCTTCTTGGAATAAAATGTTTCCACTCACTGAGAAGCTGCCAAAATCTTTTTTTAAAAGTTCCATTCTTATCAGAAAGTTTCTGTAAGTTTTCCTTGTGGGATTTGAATTCCTTTCATTTTTCTAAATTAATGCTACAAGGAAACAAATCCACATCCCGTACTGCCTAGAAGTTGAGGAAGTCTTCATAGGTTATAAGAATCAATACTCCTCTAGTGAGGGGCCTTACCGAAAACAAAACAGTGAGGCAAAGGGGACCAAAGCAGATAATACCTCTCATGTATCGGCACAACTGCGCTGGTGAAATTTTCACATAAATATAGATGGGAGATACTTTCATTTCAGTGACTGGTCACAGCATTCCCTCTAGAATTGTGACCATGCTACATAGGTCCCCCAACATGACAGTCATCCAGACCTCTAGAGGCCTACTAGTGACATGTTCATTTTCACCTGTACATATCTTGATTATTAATTTATTTTTCTGTTGATGTCTGTTTTAGGAATGCCAGATAATAATTAAGGCCTAAAACGGATAGCACCACACTTTGCAGGCTGGATCCGCAATTTATACCGTAGAAGAGTTCAAATCGAGGTAAGCTTTGATTTTCCTCACCCTCTAAATAAATTTTCTAAATTGATAGGATGGCAATTGACTAATTGGCTAGTTCTATGATGGGTTTTGAAGATTATACCTTTTTTCTTGTTGAAAATGATGACAAAGTAAAAGAATTTCAAAGCAAAATACTCATCTGGACAGACAATGAAAGAATATTCAGGTTATTACAATTTGGTCCCCTCATTAGGTGAATCCACCTTCCTCAGCATGAATTTCCATTAGTAACATCATTATTAAAAAAGAGTCTAACTGCTATTATATTTGCGTGATGTTGTGCTCAAAGCCTAGTTGTTGGATTACCCTTTTGTTTGTCATATAGGAGGTTAAATCTACTTGATGTGGTCATGCTCAAACCTAATATCAAATAGCATGGATGTTATTACTCGCCGTCAATGCCTTAGGACAGGTTGAGGTTTTCAAAAATTTCAAGTTTAAAATTCTTTTATTTTTGTAAGGGGGTGTATATATATTCTTCTTATATCATCCGGCATGTCCTTGTTTGCTTTTGCATATGCATATGTGTAAAGTGAGTCAGAAAACAAAAGATAGAATCTTAATCAAACCGGCCAAGCCAACCCTTGTTGTCATTCTTCGCCGCCCCTACGTATATAACCAGAGATGGCAGCCAACTTGCCTCTTGGCTTTTGATTTGAAATTTCGATTTTGAAATTTTTCCTGCATAGTTTTTTATCATTTATCTATTTAGTTGGTAGATGCATGCATCAACACTCTAATTTTCATTATAATCCAAAAGTAATTAAATAATTTTAATTAAAGTCATGTTTTGCAGTTTATATTGTAGAATATCAGTTATTGAATGAAATATTTTTTTCAATATCAAAAAGTCTCTTCTTAATTTAATTACTAATATTTTGTAATCTAATTTAATTACTAGTGTTTTACAATTTAATATAATTCGAATTATAAAATATTTTTTCGTTTTAATAAATGCATCAACCCATTTTCCTAAAACGCTAACATACATTTGGGTTTTGCTTGAAATTTAAAAAATACATCTATTTTCAGAATTAGAGTGAATCTGTTCTTACTTCCAAGTCATTTTTTTTGCGTTAAGTGATTTATTTTTAGGTACTTGGGTACTACTTTCCGTGCCATTTATTTATAAGGAAGTGAGGAACCCTTGAATTTGATCGCCACATCGCTGTCCAAGAGAAATGAAAACAGAGGTTTGCGTCCCATGAATTTGAATCTTTGATGATGGTCCTCTATCACTAAAGAGAACTTTGGGTGATGGACGGTTGTTTGTGGGGCATGCTTGATTTGGACCTTGGTGTCTATCTTTTGCTTCTGATCATGTCTAACTTGTCTACCCATCGTCAAGATGTTATGTCCTTACTTCCCTAATTCAAAAATGTTAGCTCTAAAAGATTTTATATTCAAATCTTACATCATAAAGTATTATAAACCACAATGAAAATGAATTTTATCAGTTGAACTATGAACTTAGGTGCAATACATTTATAAAGCTTTAGTTCAATGCTTTATCATTCTTAATCTATAATTATTTAATTTTTTTATAAGAGATTTGAATATGAAACTTTATAAATATGATAATTTTAAGTTTAAATCTTGGGGGATGAATTGAAAAATGGAAAACCTAATTAACTGAGGAGACGTTTATATTATGCACCAGTCTACATACCTTCATATTAATAGATGACTTAGTCTTTAAGGGGATGATTTAAATGATTAAAAATTTAAAATTTTAGGATGAAAATCTCAAATTCATTTTTAAGACAATTAAGAAGATAGTTAAGGAGAAATACGAGAAAATAAGAGTTACTTTTATTGTATTATATATTATCTGATGTAAAAAAATTAAAAATCAATGACTGATATTTATCGTCTTTTTCCTCCATTATCATGCTCATATATAATAATAATAATAATAATAATAGTTTGTGTAATGCCATTCGTGGCTGTAATTCAATGGGCTCACAAATAATTGTAAAGGTAGAATACATCCACATGACGATACATCCACAAAAAAATGCCGTCTGTTCCCCAGCCTCATGGTCTCCGTGGGAATTGAAGTCCCACCAGTCAGTCCAATGTGCTTCAAATCTCGGTTTCTAATATATATATATATATATATATATATTTATTTATTAACTTCCTGTTATTCAGTATCACATTGGATCTTAATTAATTTGAAATCGAATCGCGTCATATTTCATTAATGAAAAAGCTCTTCCAATACCTGTTTCTTCATTCACGATATTCAAATTTAAAATATTACTTAAGAAAAATTGAACTCTTTCTACTCAAAACCAATATATTGTTGGTCTCAGTTTCTAATACGTTGATTAAGGGCATTGAAGCTCCACCCGTGGGTCCAACTAACATGTGTATTATAGGCCCTTAACTTGTGATTCTTTTGGGCTCATGCTGGACATTTACCACTCACCACCCATAGGGAAAAAAAATAAAAAATTCTCTTTACTATTAAGTCTCAAAAAAGTTAGAAGGTTTTTTTTATACCTTTTGCTTTAATTGTATATTTATTTATTTATTTATATAAAAAATTAAAAAAAATTAATTTTATTTTTAATTCTAATTTTACATGAATGTTTTTTATTATATAGTTTATAAAATTAAAATTATTTTTATTTTTTTATAATAATTAATAAAAAAATAAAATTAAATAAACTATTCACATGTATCTTTGTAATATAAATTAAAAAAAATCAAGGTTAAATAAAGAGTCAAAGCTTGAAAAAAATTACCCTTACCTAGAAGGCTAAAACACTCTTGCTGATGCGTGCAAAGGAGCTTAAGATATCACTTAAACTGAAAAATGTAAGGGAAAAATAAAATTTCTCAGTTGAATGAAGCGAGATTTATCCTCCTTGGATACCCAACACAAATGCGTCTTTGCATTTATGTTTTTGATTATCAAAATGAATTTTAAAGCATTAAATATGTCCTGCACCGTCAAATACAGTCAAAATAATAGTACTAATCTGTCAATAAACCGTCTTTAGTTGAGGTGCCTAGTTCCTACTAACGGTCACGCCAACTACTTGCATTAAATTTTCCTTTTATATATGATCAAAATATTTATGAATTAGTTTTTATATATTTTAAAATTAATTTTTTTAGATAATTTTAACGACGCACTTCCTGAATCAACTTAAAGAACATAATAAAGTTCATATATGTGCCTAGGGTTATGAGGAGCAACTTTGAACATAATGAAGTTCATGATTTTCAATCAACTTGTGATACCAAATCAGACCCTTTTTTTCAAAACGAAATACTTGTCATTTTCTTTTTAAATAATAAGTTTATTCATAAATCTGAATTAATAAATTATAACAAAAAGTTATAATTATAATATTATGTATATGTTCTTATAAATTTAAAATTTTATTTGATTATAACTATAATATTGCCAATAAATTATGCATATCTAAATAAGTGTCTTCATACAATTTAGATTCATAATTTAAATCTTGAAATAACATTAAATTTTTTTAAAAAAAATGCACAAAACTTGCATAGAAGGTGCATTATTAAGATAGTGGGGAAAGTGCTTAATTTTTGAGGTGAGCAAAATCTAGGGACACTCTAAAAGCAAATAATAAATAATAATAATAACCTTAATTGGTGAATTAGCGGTTAATATTTTAAAATTTTAAATTATAGATTTTAAATTTAAAACTTAATTCGGGTGAAGAGGCATTTGAAAAAAAAGAAAAATTATTTTTTCTTGTATAATTCATAATCAAATATATAAAAAAAAATATAATAATAACACATATCTCAGGAGAACCAGGGATGAATCATTTTTTTGTTTGCTAATTTCCAGTTTTAGCTGAATTTGATTTGGGCATTGTACAGGGTAGGGGAGAGTCAGGCAAGCCCAATGGATGCAAGCCCATATTAGTGATAAAACGGCGTCGTTGAGCTTCCAAGTTGGGCAGTACGGCGGTGATTGTGCCCTGACTGGGCAGCACCACTCCCAAGAAATAATAATGTCAAAACCAAAGGGGGCAAAACCGGAAACCTAAAATTTTAAGGCGGGAAAAAGAGCCGTTGCCAAATGGAACACCAAAATTTGGCGCCAAAAAGTCCCCTCACTCGTTTTCGGCTGCCCGTAAATTGCCGGGCAGCCTCCTTTCTCTCTCCCTCTCTCTCCAATCTCTTAGACCTTATTAGCTAATTGGCTTAATATAAACATCCCTCTCTCCTTGACAAATTCTTTCTTATTTTCCTCAGAAACCATCTTTTATCCCTCATTCAAAGTTCTCTCTTTTCCCCCTCCATTTTCTCTCCTTTCCATCACCTCCCCAAAGAACACCTAAAACCCTTTTCCTCTTATTCTATTCTCCTTCTTTCCCAGCAGTTTTCTTGATTTCCTTTGATTCCTTAATCAAAAACCCATCTTTTTCTCTTCTCTTTGGTTCATTCTGCTCCTCAGTTTTCCTGATTTTGTTCAAAGAAAAAGGTCTTCCTTTCTTGGGTTTTATTCTTCAATCAAAACCCATTTTATTCCTTTATATTCTAGGTTGCTCTGTTTCTTCTCTGTTTTGGTGCTTCCCAGCAAGAACAGAGTGTTTTCAGTATTGGGTTTGCTTCATTTTTGCTTCGCAAGCTGTTTTCTTTTTCTGGTTGAGAATGGGGTTTTCAAAAAAGACACAAATGGATGGAGGGTTTGACTCTGAAGGTAAGAAATGGGTAATAGCCGGAATTGCAATAAGAACACTGAAGCCTATAAACACAAAATCCAGAGGAAAAGACACTGAGGAAGATGAAGATGAAGCATGTTCAACAACACCAACCTCAAAAGAAGCAAGAATACCGGAGAAATTACCATGCCCACCTGCTCCAAGAAAGCGCAGGCCTCCTTTGAGGTGCCATTACAGTGGGGTTAGAGAGTTCTTCACTCCTCCGGACTTGGAATCAGTCTTTAAATGCCATGTTGAGAAGGCAAATTGAGTCACTTTGAGTTCGAGAATAGTTTATCCTAGAGCAAGAGTTTGAGTTTTTAGATTAGGAGTTTGTTCCTTTCTGTTTTCTTTTTCATTTTTAACTAGTCCTTTTTGTATTAGTATCTCCTCTATACAAGGTAGTCGAGAGGAGTTGAAGGTGTACAAAGATATGATATTTATGAAATGGTTAGTGTAGTTTTTTAGTCATGTTATTGGTTCTATATCTTATTGGTTCTATATCTTCAAGTTTCCAGCTTTAGTGCTTGTATTGTAATGCTTTTGAAGTTCAAATTAAAGCTTGAAGATTAATAGGCAGGAAAAGTTAAGTTTTTGTTCTGATTTTCTGGTTTTTAAACCATTCTTTCGGCACTTCAAGTTGTCTCTGCTCTTTGTTACTCTCTGTGCATGTTTTTTTTTTTTTGGTTTTCCGTCCGGTATCCGGGGACTTTGCTCCGACTAATCCGGATTGACCCGCGTCGCGCAACTGGAAATGGTGGGTAAGTCTTCCAATGGAAGCTATTACATTCACAAGGTCTTGAACTTGAGATCTTGTTTAAGCTGAAACAAATCGTTTACCACTTGATCTAACCTTTCGTTGGTCTCTCTGTGCATGTTTAGCATTGATGTTTTGAATAAAATTTTAGTAATCACACAAGCATAGAGGACAGGGTTTCTGTTCTGCTTCTGCATATAAAAAATCAAAGGTTAAGGTCCCAAATGTTAGAGCAAAAAATGTAAAAAGTAAATCTTTTACATGGCTGAGATGCTGCAGGGCGCGGATGCTTCTAATACCCAAGTACCTCTTTGATGCTCTGCCAAACCCTCTTCTTTAGTCTTATTTGGCCCACTTAACCTGACCCACCTCCCCTCAAACTCCATGGCAAATCCAAGATTTTGCCAAAGTCTTATTTGGTTATAAAAAGAAAAAGACAAATTTAGGTTGGCCGTGGGATTAGAATCCTATGTGGGATTAATTGTTTGGTTTACTTTGAAAAGAAAACCATTTGTTTCAAATTAAGAAACCATTTAACCTTAGCTAGCTAGTGACTGGCCTAAAAGTATCAGAGTATGAAATTTATATAAAATTTCCATGGCTAATTTTTAAAGTCCACAAATTTTATTAGGAAACCATTTTGTCTATCTCAAAAGCAAGAAGTTTTGTTTGGTCCAACTTCGAACTTTTACAACTGAGAAGATTTCTAGTAACTAAACCAATAGATGTTGCGAATTGGCAAAAATGACAGTTTCCCTGTGTATTTTGGCCTCTGATATCTTGCAGAAATGAGGGGTTTGTGGATAAGATTTGGGGCATGTTTAAAATACAGTGGACACCCCATTTGTTTATATTGAAGTAGACAAGATTTGCTGAGCATGATCAAGGGTTCCGTCTAAAAAGGTGATAATGGGGGGAGTTTACCTAATCTAAGGTTCTTTCTCTTTACTTGAAGTAAAAAAAGGGTTTCTAGGGATTAGGATTCTTTTATGAAAGCACACAGTAAAGTAGCAAACTTTGAACTAAAAATTAAGGCTTCTCATCGCTTTGTCAGATTGAATTCACCTAATTGTTTTTCTGGGCTCCTCCTATTGGTTTTCTTGAGATAATTAATTCAGTCTTTTCCCCCATTTGGGAGCAAAAAATGCTAGAGAAAATTTCATTTATCCGATGTTGTTTTAGTTGAAAATAAAAGGTCCAGAAGAAAAAGATGAGTTTGTTTAGAATGAAAGTAACTACTCTGTTGTGATAGTGTATCTGAAATGGAGTCATATCTTAACTAAAGCTAAATCCAGGTGAAGTGGTTCTGCTTGTCCTGATTGATAGTTTCTCACCGAATCTTAGTGGGCAACATCTTGATTTATTTTTTGTCTGGGGGGACCAAAGAAATGGCCAGCAATGTGATAAGGACATTTGAATGAAATATATTTTGTTCCTCTCCATAAAAGTTTTTATATACATGTTTTCAATGATTTATAAGATCACATACCCCCCTCCCCCCCTCCCTAAGGCTTCTTTTGGTATTAAGTTACATCTTGTGTGGGGAGGACTCTTAACCCCTGCACTAGGAAAAGAATGCACTTCCATTATAACAAAAGGTTAAAACTCATGTTTGGCCCCTTAATTTTTTTATGAAACTCATTTTTAATAGTGAAATAAATTCCTTTTTCATCCTTCAACTAAATGACAAGTTCACAATACTCTCTCATTTCAAAATAAAAGAAAAGATTAGATAACATGGGTTAACTCTCTAATCAATAATCTCCTTTTCTATTTAGTCTTATTCTCAAAACTTGGATTGGAGATATTCCTATAAATAGATTAATTAGGTTTAAGGTTTCAACTTTAAGATTCTTTAGGGTTTAGACACAAGTCAACGCCTAATTGCTTCATGAACCAATCTCCTAGCTAGAAGGAGCTACAAAGGGAGGATTCTTAGTTTTAAATTATTGGCTACATCAGAGGGGCAAATGAAAGAGGCAATTGAGATTCAGGTGATATTAAGTGTATCCCTGGAAAATACTAATTGGTAGATTACTTTACATTTCCTTGACCACCATGCACTAACAGTGTGACCTATCTCCAACAGATTCTTCATAAGCCATTAAATTCTTTATGAGGAAATATATCTATATATATATATATATGATGATATGAAAATTGTGGATTTGCACTAAAAAATTCAATTACTAAATTTCTTTGTTAATTTTTTTTTCTTTTGGTTTTTCTTATTAGAGGCATGGGATTTTATATCAATCATATGAATATATCATTCTTGCTATAGTCAAATTTAAAATGCACAATTTAACCAAAAAAATAAAATAAAATGCACAAGCAGTACATCCCCCATCGAATAAGAGAAATGAAACACAATACTATAATATCTAAAGGGCTTAATTCAATTTTTAGTCTATTAATTATCATCTTGATTTCATTTTAGTTTAGAAATTATATTTTATTTTTAAGTGGTCTATTAACTTTCAGATTCATTTCAATTTCGTCTACTTGGTCCGGAAAACTTCCTATTCTGTTAGAGATTAGTTAGTTCTCTAACTATATTTTTTTTATCTTTTAGTCCTCAAATTTATATTTGTTATAAAAATAGCTTGTATGCTTAAAATTATTATTTTTAGGCTCTGATACCAAATTTTTATACTTAAAATTATTATTTTTAAGTGGTCTATTAATTTTCAGACTCTGATACCAAATTAAAAAAATAGGAAAA